AGGGATGGGGGTGAGGGGAGGGAGAGGGAGAAGGGACTTACATGTGAAACAAGCTTGTTCCCTAACTAGAACTAATAAATAAATTTAAAAAAATCAGAAATGAAATAAAAAAATCCCTTTAAAAATCAGGAAAGAATTTAAAAATTGAGAAAAATAAATAAATTTTTAAAAGAATATCAAGAAAGCCATGAAAAATAAAAAAGCAAGTAGAGGAAACTGTTCAAGACTCAAAAAAGAAAATAAAAGCAACAAAAAGAAAAACAAAACCACAAGTAGAGGGAATTCTGGAAATGAAAAATCTGGGTCACTGAATAAGAACTACAGATGCAAGCACCAACAATAGATCATAAGAAATGGAAGTGATAATCTCAAGCAGTAAAGACAGGATAAAAGGCAGATCTCTGTGAGTTTGAGACCAGTCTGGTCTACAAGAGCTGACAGCCTCGAAAGCCACAGAGAAACCCTGTTTCGAAAAACAAAAACAAACAAACAAGCAAAAAAGCAATCTGGCGATTCAATGCAATTCCCATCAAAATTCCAACACAATTCTCTACAGATCTGAAGTAACAATACTAAACTTATGGAAAAAGCAAAAACCCAGAATAGCTAAAACAGTCCTGTACAAAAAAATATTCTAGAGGTATCACCAACCTTGATTCAACTCTACTACAGAGCAACAATAATAAAAAGCACATGGTATCAACACAAAAACAGACAGGTTGATCAGTGGAACCAAGTCAAAGACCCAGACATAAATCCACATATCTATGAACACCTGATTTTTGATAAAGAAGTGATAAATATACACTTGAAAACAAGAAATCATCTTCAACAAATGGTGCTGACCTAACTCAAACACCTTTGAAGGCATGAGTGTAATGATTTCACTAGACCAAAGATAAATGATAAACAGGTGTTTTTGGTGAACAATTAAACAGATAAATATAAAGAACCACCGGAGCACTTTTCTGCTCTTCCTGTCAGATTGGCTGACCCAAGATAAAGACCTCACGAAAAGAAGCCATGCCTCAAACTTCCCTCTTTCTGCTTCTGTCTGTCTGAATCAATGCCCAAAGGGGTGTGGCTACCATTATAGGTTCACTGGCAAGACCACTACACACCTTGGCACAGGAGAAAAATCCCTGAGTAGATCAGGAATAGCATATGATGTAAGACTGTAAATTAATAAATATAACTTCATGAAATGGGAAAAGTTTCTGTAAGGCAAAAGACACTATCAATAGAACAAAAATGGCACCCAAAAGAATGAGAAAAGATCTTCACCAAATCCACATCTGACAGAAGGCTGATTTCCAAAATATATAAAGACCTCAAGAAACTTAATTACCAACCAAAAGCAGCTTGGGGGACAAAGAGTTTATTTGGCTTATAGATGGCAGGTCATTATCAAGGAAGCCAGGGCAGAAGCTCAAGTCAGGACCTTGGAGGCAGGAGCTGAAGCTGAGACCATGGAGGAAATTCCTTGCCAGCTTGCTTCCAGACACACAGGCAGCTAAGCATCCTGGCTCATCTACCTAAGGAAAGTGCCACTTTAGAGACACTGGTCCCACCCACACCATTTAGCAATTAAAAAAACGCCTCACAGACAGGCCCACAGGCCAATCTAAAGGAGGCAGTTCCTCAGTTGGGATTCCCTCTTTCCAGGTCTATCTGTGCTTGTTTCAAGTTGACAAAACTGAACCAGTACCTCTGTCTGTCCTTGCTTCCCTCCACTGACTTGGAAGCTTGTCTCTCCACACTGAAGTTTTTTTTTTTTTTTTCTTTTAAGGTTCTCATTGCCTTAGGCTCAATTACTTCAAAGAGTGAGTCCAAGAATAACTTTATATTTTGTCATTTTCAAAACAACTGAGACCAGAGAGGCTGAGTTTCATTTGAAAATACAGATATACCTGAGCTAGGGTTAGGTCAGTAGCAGGTCTGGCTCCCAGCTCCTCCCAGCATCCTCTGCTCTCTTTGGCTAGGGAAGATTGGCTTCTGTCTATTAATGTCCAGGTTCCCTATGCAAAGGAATCATAGCAAAGGAATAAGAAGTAACAGGAAAAACAAAAAGAAGAGAATAAAGGGAGAAGAATGTGGAAAACTGAGAAGGAAAGCAGCATGGAACTGCCTAACAGTTGGTGACTTTGAGACCAACTCAATGGGAGGGAATTCACGCCCATAAGCTAGCCAGCTACCTTTGCCTGGAGTGGTTATAGACCTGAGAGGAGAACCTGCTCCTGCCATGTTCGAGCTGTATTCTAAATGCTTATCCTGCCACCCACAGATTAGCATAGCTCTCGCTCCTCATCAAATACGTTTCTTCTTTCAGTAGATGGAGATTGTTACAGAGTTCCACAACTGATCAAAATGCAGAGAACAATTGATTGTGAGGTGCCCAACCCCAACTGATATGTCTACATTGTAACCTAAGGCCCAGGGAAATTTTCAGAAGAGGAGCCATAAAGATTGTAAGAGCCAGACAATCAGGACATCTGGTATAAGGTACTGTCTATTAGCCATACCATAGAAGCTGTACCCATGCCCATAAAATCTCGGAATTATGGCCATCTACACAAGACCCACATAATGACAACACCAATTAACATGTCAGTGTGGATGAGTGAAATTGCATAAGGCTCCACCTCCACATGAAACACTATAGGTAATAAATGGCTGCTGAAAGAATCAGCCTTCACCAAGGATGAACCTCCTGAACTCATTCAAACTCAAACGATCAGCTTTAAACTCATATACATAGGAATAGCACTAAATAGACCCAGTAGCTTGTATATATACATGTAGCAGTAATAATTAAAGAAGAAAAGTGAAATTGAGGAACCTTGGGGGCATTGATAAGCTGATGGAGGGAAACGGATGAGTGAAAATGATGTAAATACAGAGCTCAGGTATGGAATTCTCAAAAAATAAAATATGTAAGTAAAAAGGACATTCAAATAAAAAAATCCACTTAAATGTAGAATCTGACAAACAGGATTATTCAGTATTTGGAACATTTGGAGAAGACAGAGATATAAAATGCTGTAGAGGACAAGCTTCAGGCCTGAGACATAACCAAAGCATGGAGTACATGCTCAGAGATGTTTTTGTCCATATTCCTATCCCCTCTACCCTGTCATTGCCTAAACCTTTAAGAAAAAGAGTTTGATTCTTTGGGGTGCTGAGATCCAGCCAGTGTAAGACCTCAGGGTGCTGGAGAAGTGAAGTACAAGCCTTAAGGGTACAAAAAGGTTACAGCATGGCTACCTAAGTGTCCTCTGATAACTGCTGTGCTCTGAAGAACTGTGTTCTAGAACAGCAACATACAGGTATATATTCCATCAAACAAAAATAATCTCTGTATTCCATCAAACAAAAAAAAAACCCTTCTACTTTCTAGATGGTGCATTTACTAGAAAGTAACCCATGGTAGCTGATGGTCATGGGATGAGGATATTGCTCACAACAAAACAGTTGCCTGTGTAGCATACAACAATAGACATCAAGAACACAATAACTTTTGGTACAGTATTTGGGAAAGAAGGTTACTGTATTTTGTAATGAGGATCAACTATGAGAATACAGAAGAGGAAAATACTCATGCAAGGTAAATAACACAGTAAAAGGGCATCAGAAATCTATAGTGGGTAAGTGCAGTGGCTCCTGATTTGAGCTGAAGACCAAAGACTTTCAGGAGAATGGTCATTATGTCACCATGGTCCAACGAGACAAAGTGGAAGAGGAGAATGATAAGCCACATCCATTGTGTCCATGCTGATCATGACAAGAAAAGACCTCAAACTATCTAAAATGAAAGGCTTAACAAATGGTGGGGAGAACACAGGATGTGGAAACATAAAAGTGTTGAGGAAAACTTATAGGTAGGAATAGTTGAAACTTCTCAGGAGCAAGAACAAATGATAAGGAAAAGAAAGAGCTCATTATTTTAAATTATTTCATTGTATGTTACTTTTAACAGCTGTTTTTGAAGAGTTTAGCAAACTTTTGTAGCTGTTTCCAAGTTGGAGTTGGAACTGTCTCTTGCTTCCAGGCGCTCACATTCTTCTGAGTATAAGCTGCCTAAGGCCTCCTCAACACCTTAGGCAAACATGGTTCAACACTGCCTATTTCTGTTGCCTTCCTAAACAATACATACATAGAAGTTTTGCAGGGGCTGATCTTCATCACCTCATTTGTTCCATTCAGTAAGGTTTTCAGCATATTCACTTTGTAGAAGCAATTTATTTATTGTTGATTTATATCCCATGGCATGATGAAACAATACCTTGTCTTAATCATAATTACTATCGCTGTGATGAAATACTCAGACCACAACAACATGGAAAGAAAAGGGTTTATTTGGCTTAGACTTTCACATCACTTTTCCCTATGAAAGAAAGTCAGGACAGGAACTCAAGCAGGGCAAGTACCTGGAGGCAGGAGCTGATACAGATGTAATGGAGAGGTATTGCTTACTGACCTGCTAGTTTTTCATTGTAGTTTGCATAAGAGGGATTACTAATAACCACAAGGCACTGTCAATATTAACCTTTGCCAGTGCCATTAATCTAAAACTCTTCAATTTAGACCCCAGCAGAAAGGGCAGAAAGCAGCCACATTCTTTGCACAAATACCATAAGAATGGTCCCTAGCCCACTTACTAATATTCTTCCCCTCTGAGACTTCTTGTTACTTGGCCTCCACTGTTCACTCAGCACCACTGCCCATATTCTGACTAGTATGTCCCATTAAGCCTTGCTTAAGGCATTCAGCTGCTTTCCTAATCCAAATTCCCAAAGTCCACATTCTCCTAACCAGAAACATGATCAGGCCTATCATAGTATTATACCACTATCTTGTACCACTTCTGTCTTAGGGTTCTCTAGAGGAGCAGAACAGATAGAATAACTATGTTTATATGGATAATTTACTAGAATGACTTACAGGCTATGGTCCATTTTTCTTTCTGACTAACTGCCTTCCAACAGAAATTCTAAGAATCCAGTAAAACAGTCTACAAGGCTGGATAACTCAGCTGATCTTCGGTATGCATAGGAATACAGAAGTAGTAGGCTCTATTGTCAGTGAAGGGATGGACTTTCCAGCAAGAGGGCAAGACAAAAGCAAAAGTTTCCTCCTTTCATGCCCTTTGTAAGTGCTGACACCAAAAGTTGTGCCATATCTGGAGTAAAGTTATTTCTTCCCATTTCAAATGATTTAATTAAGAAAACTCTATTAGACTAAACACATACCTAGCTCTTTGTATTTTAGTTAATCCCAAATGTAGTCAAGTTGACAATCAAGTATAGCCAACATACTTGTCAACCATCAACTTGGTGACAGCTGTTTTGAGTGCTTACTGAGATATTATGATAAAATGCTTAGAAATTTTTGGATCCATTCATTTGAGGAGGTGGTTTTCTTTTTCCTTGTTAATAAGTATAATTGGAGAATTCATGAGAATGTGTACCAGGACGGCTTTCTCTACAGGATCATCAGTCTTTGTACTAGGAATAAACATGCATTGGTATATATTTCCTAGGATAACTTTCTATTTCATTGATTTTTATCTTCAAGCAACAGAAACATGAGCAGTTGATATTTAGTGTTCAACATATTTAAATTTCATGTTTCTTCTAATAAGAATTTTTAAAATACCACATATACTTGTAGCCTTTGTGGATTTTGTTTTTCAGCTTCTCCTTTCTTAGTTTTAAGCCATGTGAGTTCTTCCTTAGTAAGAGGCTGAATGAACAACACTGCATCTGCCTCTCCTGATTGATCAACATTTGTGGAAATAAGAAGATCATTTGGCCCAGTAATGAAAAGCCCTGGAAGTGAACCCTACAGAGCTAATACTTATCAACATCTTTAGAGTTAATACTTACTATCCTCCTTAGGACACAGGCGATCATGAAGCAAGCATTTTCTGCTTTGTTCTTCTTGTCTAGAAAATACTAGGATAAAATTTGAGGCAGTAAACATTAGTGTTTAGGATATGTTCACTTGGATGCTGTGAAATATAGTCTCCAAAGGGAGTCAATCTCTCATATTGCTGCCGCAACAATGAATTAATCCCATAATTGCTTACATTTTGGAAGTAAGATTCCAATGGTTGTCATCAGCACCACACACAAGGCTCCAAGGATGCCTGTTACCATTCTCCACACTGTTGTTTTGGGGCCTGAAAAGAAAGAGAAGCAGTGACAATGAATGAGTTTCTAACTTTCAGGAAGATAGTGAAGAACCAGCCTGCCTCCATTTTAGGATTAAAAGCCATTTATAGTAAAGACAAACTAGGTTCGTTCCTGTTTATGACTAACCCTGTTTCTCAAAGATTGGGCTATGCTCCACCTATAAAGGGTCAGTACTGCCTTTTTCATGATTGGCATTCATATTTTGGTTTCAAAATTTTGTTTATAACCATCTTGCAACCCTATCTTTGTTTCAACAGGTTATATGATCTATCTTATGACTACCTGTTCTTATGACTCCCTTGTTATGTCCATCCTGCAAGCAAGGGACTAACATGTATGCATATGCTCTGTTCCTGTGACCCCACCTACTTTGCCTGCCAAATCTACCAGTTGGGAAGCCCCTACTCCTATAAAAAATACTAACAACTTGTTTTCCTCACATCCAATGTAGACCTCTCGAACCCTATCTTAGGGGGAGGCAGCCCATGTAAATTAATTAATTTGGTCATGATGATTTGGATTGGTGGTCATTCTCCTCTGATCTTTGGGGTCATTAGTCCCTTAACTCCAGTTTCTTTGAGAACATCTTCTCCTTAAGTACCACGAGACACTCATATACCATGTTTCATCTGGCTTTTATTGGGCAAATCATCTGTGATGAATGTCTTTCTAAATGAGGGAACAGTTAATGATGACTAATCACTTAAACAAAGAAAAGCACTTTCAGTGCAAGCCTGGTAACATGAGCTCCATCGTTGGTGCCCATGGGAAAAGGCTTGTAGTGTTCATTTGCTTCTGTCTCTGTTAGCCCAGCGGATGGAGACAGAAGAATAGGCAATTGGATGCTCACAGGCCAGCCAGGTTGGGGTAGGAACCAGAAGCTAAAAAAAGAGCCTGCTTCAAATTTCAAAACAAGGTGGTAGCAGAGAAAAAGCTCCTCATCCCCTCTGTCTTTATCTATCTGTCTGTCTGTCTGTCTGTCTATCTCTACACCCTCACACATCTATAAAGAAAGAAAGAAAAGACAGAAGGTTATTTTTTTTAAATTACATTTCACTTCATAATTTCACTTCTGTTATCTGGTTAAATATAACATTCTAAATTTACCTCCAAAATATTATAAAAATATTTCTCTATAATCTGTTATTCCTGTGACACTAACATATGACACTTCTTTCAGTCTGGTGGCTATTTTTCCAGAGCAGACTCAATGGGATGGAATTAGACTGCACTGGTTAAAGGTGACATCAGTATCTATTTTCACAGGAGCAAGGAATGAAGCCAATCATGTTTGCTCACACCTGTATTTATACCCTTTCCGGAGCCTAAAGCAGGAGGGATGCTTTGTGTTCAAGCCTATCCGGGATACAGAATAGAGCCTTGTATTATAAAAATGCGGGAAGGGAGAAATAAAATGAATTTTTAAATTTTAAATCTATTAATTTATTTTACATCTTCATCACAGTTTCTCCTCCCCCGTTTCCTCTCAGTCCCTCCTCCAATCTCCTGCTCTGCCTCCCCCATTCAGACCTCCTTTTCTGTTCAGAAAAGGGCAGGATTCATATAGGTATCAACAAATCATGGCATATGAAGTTGCAATATGACTAAGTACCTCTCCTTGTGTTAAGGGCAGGGCAAGGTGACACAGTATGAGGAATAGGGTTCCAAAAGCTAGAAAAAGACAGACAGCCCCTGCTCCCATTGTGAGGAATTCCACAAGAAGACCAAGCTACACAACTGTCCTATATGTGCAGAGGACCTATTCAGTCCCATGCAGGCTCCCTGGGAGTCTGTTCAGATTCTGTGAGCTCCTACAATCCGAGGTCAGTTGATTCTGTTGGTTTTCTTGTGATGCACTTGACCCCTGTGACTCCTTTCATTTTTTCCCTCTCTTCAGCAGTATGCCCCAAGCTCTGCCTAATGTTTGACTGTGGGTCGCAGTTTCTGTTTCTATCAGTTGCTGGGTGAAGTTTGTCTGATGATAATTGGAGTAGTCACCAATTTGGCTACAGGAGATGGTCAACTTAGGCTACATATCTGCTATTGCTAGGAGTTTTAGCTTGGGTCATCCATCCTTGTAGATTCCTGGGAGATTTCCTTGTTCCAGGTTTCTACCTGACCCAAAATGCCCCCCATTTATAATCATTTCTTTCAATCCTCACTCCACTCAGCCTGCCCCCCCAGTCTGGTCACTCATGTTCCCATCCCCACCCGCCCTCAGTCCACCTATGAAATTTCTTCTATGTCCCCTTCCCAGGGAGATCTGAAAAGCCCCCTTGAGCCCTCCTTGTTACTAAGCCTCTCTGGATCTGTGGATTGTAGCATTGTTAGCATTTACTTTATAAAGTAATATCCTCTTTTAAGCAAGAACATACCATGTTTGTCATTCTGGGTCTGGGTTAGCTGACTCAGGATGATTGGAATTTTTAAAAGTAGCACTCAATTATGTTTTTAAAGTGTTGTAACCTGCTGCAGTGATGCTTGAAAGGAACAGATTTAAAGAAAATTTATTCTACTGTAGCAGGAGGGATTACAAAGGTATATAATTAATGCATCATGACTAATTTAGCATGGTTATGTTTCCTTTTCATTCTGTTGCTGTGATAAAATACCCTGAAATATGTTACATTAGATGTGAAAGGGGTCTGTTCACTTTACAATTCAGAGTTATAGTTCACGGAAGTTCCATCAGCGCAGGAGCTTGAAGCAGCTGGTCGCATGCACAGTCAAGAGCAGAGAGACGTGGACACACTCATGCTTGGTGCTTGCCTAGCCTCTTCTGCTATTACACAATCCAGAGCCCCAACCTGGGAATGGTGCCTCCCGCTTGCATGCAGTTTTCCCACATCAGTGAGGGCATCAAGACAATTCACTACAGACGTGCTCACAGGCCAATCAGATATGGACAGTCCCTTAGCTAGACGTTTCCCAGTTGATTCTATGTATTGTCACATTGTCAATTAAAAGTGGTCATTACAGGTACTGAGAGCTGCACTATAAACCCTAGTGTAGAGATCTGTCAGTTGCAGAATGGACACACCACTGTACCTTGTCTTCTTCCTCTGACAACCCGTTTTGGGGGCAGGAGCTGAGGTGTTCTTTGGAATGTCAGTTCTGCATAGTTTAACTGCTCCTCACTTAGCATTACAGGGCTCTGCTTTGCTTTAGGTATTCTTTGCTTCTGTGAAGACTTAGTCCTCTTCACCTCCGTGTAAGTAATGTCCTGCTTGTTTCCTGTGTATTCATGGTGTTTACCGTTAGGCATTTCCTTCTGCTTCATCTCAGTCTTGGCAGCTTTCTGCACTTGTTCCGGAGTATCTCTGCAACAAGGAAATACATGTAGGCTGCCTTGCTGAGACATCTTTGGGTCTTAGCATTCATGTGGGAATATTTGTTTATGAAATTTGTGGGTGAAATGGAGAAAATAAAAGTACAAACCGCTCTCTGAACATAATAATTTTGCTGATTCAGAAGAATGGTTCTATGATCCCTTACAAAGCTCACAGCCACTTTCCCTCTCTGAGCCCAGTTTTAAAGGTTTTGATCTGGGATTTTATACAAAATTCCTTCTCAGCATTCCATATACAGTAGTTAAATTCCAAATAATAATAAAAACTTGCTAAAGTACTACTGTGTTAATGAAAATAGAAACTTAAATCAATGACAACTTAAAATCAGGTGCCTATAAAATATATTTGTGGAATGAAGTATTGTTTGGTGGAGTCTAATTTTATGAGGGAGAAACCAGATTTTTTTTCCCAGAAACTTGATAAATTCTACATTTGGCTATAAGAATGCTAGTATCTTTATTCAAGATCAGTTTCTGTCTAAGAAGTTCACAATTATTTAATACACACACACCATGCTCAGAGGCCCATACATATGGGTCATCAAATTAATAAAACTGAACCTATGTAGCATAAACAAAGAAGGGAAATAAACAGGCATTCACAAAGCCCAATATAAACACAAAATTACAAGTTAGAAATGAACTCATGCAAACTAAAAGAAAAATAGCTACCTATGGGTATTAAGTTATGAAAATTCCTAAAAGTTTCTTGTCAATATATTAATAACTGTTGCCAACTGTTGACTCTCAATTTGAATATTTTAGACTATCTAAATGTTAAATGGGAGTTTAAGTTATGTAGTGCCAGGTTTTGTCATCATTGTCTTTTTATCTAATAAATATAGAGGGAAGCTGAATGAGAATAGAGTGAATATCGTGAAAAGCAATCCTGAGTAAGGAGATGAGTAGGTTACAGTCCCTGAGACACTAGAGTGCTGGGTGAACAAGCGATGCTAACAGTTACTCTTGATGAAGGGCTCTCTAACAGGGTTAAGCAATGCAAATAAGGCACTCGCACCCTTTCTTCTCCTTTGCTAAACCATTAGATTATGTTCCTTCACCAAGGTCCATTCCCTTATTTGGCAACTTCCTTATGCCTAACTCATTCCTCAGGCTTAAAACCAAGATCCAGCTCTCAAAATACCAAGGTCAAATTCATATTTTAGATACATTCACTAACTTCCGACGAGGATTTACCAACTCATCCTAACACAGATTTCCCCTTTCTCTCCTTAAACCCACTCCTTCAGGGGCACTTGCTGCTCTCTTTGCCTGGTCAAGAGGCAACTCCACCCCCACTTGTTACCTATGTGGGAATTAAATCTTAATTGTGTTGAGATTTGGTGTCTGGGTGTGCTCTGTGCTGACTCTGTGACTCCTTCATTTGGTTTCTGTAACTCAGATCATGACTTGGATGGATCTTCAGGACCCCTGACCCAGTTCTTGCTCCTTCTGGGCCATCTGGCACCTGCTTCCTTCATTCAGCAGCTGCTAATTCATGAGTTTTCCCTTACTATACATCCTAAACATTTCTCAGGATATCAGGTGATGAGCACTTAGTGTTCATAATCCCTGCACTTGTGGGGGTGGGAAGAATGCACTCCACCCTGGCCTTCAGAGGCAATGATAGTCTCCATCAGATGGGTGTCAGACACCTTCCATTCAGTTTGGCTTGGTTGGTGATTTTCCTTTCCCTTTTGGTGGCCTTTATCCATTCATAACCATCTGAAACTCCTGTTGACCAGGGCCGAGATTTGTCCTTGTACCATTGCATCCCTCTTTTGGTGATGTAGCTTGGGTGACAAACCCTTCCTCCAAGAGATTGCATTATTGGCCACTTGAGACCCTTAGGAATGGCCCTTGGTTCTCAACCTTTGCTCATTGACTGTCATTAACAATGAGATCCTCTCCCTCCATCCTTACTGATTCTCCTCTGGGACGTTTCCTAAAGAACCCAACTCACACTGGATATTGCTGGTCCATTTTAGCACTCAAGAATGGCCCTTACACCTGCCTAGATAATCAAACAAAGTGACAACCTTTACAATATTTGTGGGTGCATGGAATGATGGAAGGAGACCCCCTTTTACTCCCCTCCCTCCTCGCTTCCCCTCTTCAGAGAGTCCCTATGTCTATGCCCTCTTTATCTCTACTCCAAGCCCTCTGCTTACACTTGTCTCCTGTCCTATTGTCCATCAACACCTTGTCACTCCCACTGCTGCCCTGCTGCCATGCCCACACAGCTCTAGGAGCCTACAGCAGCTGTCCAGGCTGTGTCACTTCAGGAGTCTGAGCTGGAGCCCACCTCTGGATCCTGCCGCCACCTCAACTATCGTCTCCCTACCTGAACTCAAGTCAAACTTTTTATCTTTGATGCTGCCTACTCTTATCCTCTCGCTCTTCATCAGCTACCTCCCCTCCAGTCCCTTCTCGTTACCTCTGTCTCTCATGTAGGCCCAGGCCACTCTCTTGGTAGCTCCCCCTCTGGCCCCAGTCTGTCTCCTCACGTGGCTCAACTCAGGTTCATGTTTACTCTGAACTCTCCCAGATATCCCTGACACTGACTATGCTCTCTCTTTATCTACAAGAACCCAGCCTCTCTGAACCAAGCTGCTGATCTGACTCTCCTAAAGTACATACAGACCATTTGTTTCTTTTGACCTCTGATTTGCCATACGCTTTGCCCTAAAAAAATCTGTTACTATTATGTTGTAAACTCTGTCTCAGGATTTGTAAGTTCATTGGGTATGGTTTAAAAATCTATAAAATCTGTAACATAAAATTACCTTAAAATTTGTAATAAGAAGTTGAATCTTAAGTTGCTAGAAGTGATTCAACTCTTATTCAAAAAATAGTTCTACTTACTGTATATATAACTTAAATTCAACTATTGATATGCATTTATGTATATATATATATATATATATATATATATATATATATATGTCATAATTGGCAGCCATCTTTACTAAGGTTAAAAAATACATGCCATATGACATCAGCAACTTTTTAGTAATATTTTTTGTTAATTATTAGAGAGTTTTGACTTCAGCATCTTAAGATGACCACATGGCATAAAACAACAAGCATAAAATTTCTCAATGATACTGAGCTCTTAGTTTGCTTCTTAGACTAGAAGCAACAAGTTATCAAAGTGTTTTGGAATGATATAAAATTTTACTTAGGTTAACAAAAGTGGACTTAGAGATTTAACTAACTACTTATTTCTTTGTTAACTCTTCACCACCAGGCTTCTAAAAAATTTAAATAAATGACAGCATATATTGGATAAACATAATTTTTATCAAGATTTTTGCCTTTGCTCAGTTTTGCTATTTAGATAAATTAAATCATACAAATAAACCCTATGATATTCTACAATGGTGCATCATGCTAAAGGTAATCCAATTAAATCTTCAACTCAAATTTTTAAGGCTCAAACTTAACAGGGATAGATCCATTTAATCTTAACCTTCTAAAAGCTACTAACTTACTAATTAAATAAAACTAAAACATACAAGTTAATAATGTCACCTAATAAATGATCAAATTCTTTAATATCTTCAGAACTATATTTGCAACCACACCAAATACTAATGTAATTATAAAAATAAACCTTATTTAGCCTCCTATGTGTGTTTTTAAAGTTAAGTCTACACTTAATTTAAAGATGGCCTTAAAACTCTTCAGATATCTGCTGAATATTTTATTTAAAATGTTTAAGCTTTCCATTTTAGAGACAAATGTCCCTTCCAAGTGGAAATTTACTGGAATGACTTACCAGTTGCAGTCCAACCAAATCAACGATGGTAAGCAGTGAAAGGAAAGAAGAATCTAGGCTGAGGGTCTCAGCTGGTCTTCTGTATACGCTAGCATCTGGAAGAAGTAGGCTCTAATGCCAGTATGGAGGTACTAGCAAGGTGAGAGAAGGCAGGCAAAAAACGAAACCTTCTCTCTTTCATGTCCTTATATAGGCTTCCAGCAGTAGCTGTGTCTTCCTGCCTCAAGATCTGGATTAAAGGTATGTATCTTTCCACCTCAAGATCCAGATCAGAGGTGTGTCTTCTTACCTCTGAGGTCCAGACTAGAAGTGGATTCACCCACTTCCAAACAAGCAGAATATCTCCCAAGTATGCCTTCCATTTCTGGATTTTAGTTCATGCCAGATATAGTCAACTTGACAACCAAGAAAATCCACTACCTTTTGTTTGTCTATCTGTTCTAGCAGATCTTAAATCAACTACAAACTGTTCCAGCAACTAAACAGCCCCAGATGTTCCCCCTGGAATCTGCATCCTAGATAGCTTCAATGTAGCTAGGCCCAGATGATCAAGCCAAACAAATTACTCCAATACTGCCTACATTTGCCCAGCCCTAGATGATACCACAGAGCTTGGACAGCTTGTTCTTCTCTGAATTGGCCAGCATTCTAGCTTCCTCACCTCCCTAACAAGGATGCCCCAATGTCAGCAAAAAGCAGCCAGAGAGAACACCAACCATCTCCCAATCCCATCTTCTCAACCTCAAAATACTAAGGTTCAGCAATCAAAATTCATATTTTGGCTACACTGACTGATGTCCAATCAGGACTTCCCAACTCACCCTAACACAGACTTTCCCCTGTTCTCCTAAAAAAACACTCCTGCATGAACAATAGCTGCTGTCTTTGCCTGATCCTGAGCCCCCACCCCCATTTGTCCCCTATGGAGTAATAAAATCTCCTTTGTGTTGAGAATTTTGTGTCTGGATGTGTTCTGTGGCAAATCTGAGGCCCTCTCATTTAACATGCTTAAAAAACATTAGAGTTGAAATATGCTTTGTTTGCAGGGTTGTGTGGGAATTTTGACAACTTTCTATCTCTTTGGAAATTAAAGCACATATTTAAATCTACTAAGACAGAGTTTTGAATATTTTTC